TGGGGTTCATGAGCAAGACCCCCTCCCCCTCTGTTATTTATCATTTTTACGTGGTAAATGTTTGGAATCTTCCACTGTATATTGTGTCATACCAGGAAGTCTCAGCAATGTCTGTCCAAAGAATAATTTGCTATACTTGTTACTTTTGGTTTGTCTGCAGAGAAGCAGAGACTTCTTTAAAAAAAAACATTTTCATTGTCTGAACATGGACGTGTTAATGGTTTTGTCTATGTTAGCATAGCCTCACAGCATGCTTAATGGTAGCTTTTGTGTTGCTAACATTAGTCCCACTAGGTTCTGCTATTCTCTACAATATAACACGGCCTTTGTTTTAAAATATGTCTGCTAAAAAAATCTCTTCCTTACCAATTCTTGACAGTACTCTAACATGTGAGTCCGGGGGTTGGAGGAAGGTCATAAAGGCAATAAATGCAACATATATGGCTGCTGTCTGTTCTGCTGTCTGTGTTTTAAAGCAGTTATATTGTGTCCAAAACACAGCATAACACTCCCATTGTTTTTGCTCAGTTGTCTTGAGACCCGAGGGTTATGGAATAGGGGAAAGTAGCTGAGTTGTAACTAGAAGTAAAGTAAATTAAAATAGCATTCAAAGTAGCTTCAATGACTCATTCAACCTATGATCCTATTTTTTGGTTTGCTGCAGCTCAGCCAGTGTGGTCTCTTTGAGTCTTTTGAACCGACAGGTTGTAAGTTTGTTCTACTTTTATGTTGGTCTTCATGCCGATGTGACCCTGGGCGTATGATTACTCAATAGAGTGTCAATGGACTGAATGTGAGGGAATGATTGAACACTCAAATGGCAAGACTGTGGTGTCAAGATGGCAGGACCACCGGAGTCCATTCAATATATATGGTTGGGGGGGTCTGTCTGGTCTATACCTGGGTTGATTTGACTGTTGCCAACAACCTGTCAGCTGCAAAACTATGAGGGAAACAACACTCATACCAACACAATAGGAACTACATGAAGCCACTGCCTGTCCTAGGGCCAACCATCTTGCCAGTTTTCCCGGGCTTATCACATCACTGTAGACTGCACTGGTCACTCTACCTGCTGTGTTCCGACTGAACCAAGTAGGTCAAGCTGCGGCTGCATGGCCATTGTTTCGTTCATGTTTGTCAAATGGATTACTCAGCAGGATTTAGCCCGGTGTAATTTATACCTTCTTTAATCCTGTTTGTATCAGTGTTTGGAACAAAAGAGGGTAGAGAGGGTTTGATGAAGGGTTAGAGGAGAAGGGTTTTGAGGGGCGTTGTGGGAGGGTTGTGTCCTCTCTCCTTCGGTCTTCGTCAAGGACACAGCAGTATTGTTTCCCAGAGTGGGAAACATTGTCCCTCTCACAACACCTTAATGCACTGCATGGGTGAGAACTATATGTGCGAGAACTGTATCGCTGTGCAGCCACACGGTGGCTAATGAACAACAAGATTATCATTCCGATCCATGATGGTATTAAATGGGATTGGCTTTATCTACCTGTTTGTTCCCATTGGGCATAGTCATCCATCATTATCCAGAGTGGGCGTGTAATGTTGTGTGTGTGTGTGTGAGAGAGAGAGAGAGAGAGAGAAACAAATGAGGGAGAGAGAGAGAGAGAGAGAGAGACTGCTTGTGTTACATATAGTGTGTTTAAGGGGAGAGTGTGAAGAGCCACAGTGGGGCTTGTGAAGATAAGCAGAGCCACAGAGAAGAGAATGACACAAACCAGCTGAAGCATTATTGTCCTCTTTACTCACGGCTAATTAGATAGAGCAAGGGCACTGGGTGGAGGAGGGGGGGCTTTATAGACCCAAGCACCCAGACACAAGATGTTATAACTGCAGAAAGAGGAGCCTGGATGCTGCCATGAGAACAGCACTTACTCCCGTTTAAGGAGTTTGAGCCACGAATAATGACATTTTACAACAGAACAGGACATTACACATGGTCCGCAAATAAATCAACAAAGATTGGGAGCATCAGATGGCTCCGGGGTTTACAGGGTGAACCACATATAAGGGCTGTAAATGAATGGACTGAGTTATTAGAGCTGTAGGTCACTGTTATAGAAGTGGTTCAGAGTTCAGTCTCTCCATTTATGAATACATTCAGTCGTTAATTTATCAGGTATCTATGTGCTCAGTGTATATTAACCCTATACATTTAATATTTAATTAAATAATTATCACTGTACTTTTGGATCAAATATTTGTTACTTACGTTGAATGAAAAAATTAAACTTTTATTATATATATTTATATATATAGAGCAATAAAAAAATGTTTAAATGTTGCATCGCTGCTCTATACGTTTCCGTTATTTTTGAAAAGGTGAGGTAGCAGCCTCTATCCCCCCTCTATCGAGGTCTTGACAAAAACTTTATTTAAGACATATAAAAGTTTACCCGAAGCTCACTTTCCCTTTTCTTCACACATTTATTACTGATTATTGCCAATTTGCCCACCCTCGCAACCTAAAGATTTCAGCTTGAAAA